AAGGTTTAGAAAAATAAAAAGCTTATGGCCCACACACCAATTTGATGCTCAAAAAGTATATTTATTTAGGCCGCCACACCAAAAAAATATAAATCAAGCACTAGATTTTTGTTTTTTTTAATTTTGTTGCTGCCGAGTTCTTTTTAGCAGCATGCAGTTACAGCAAAAATCTTTTTTGCCGTTTTTGATGCGACTGCTTTGCTGAACCACAAACTTGAACCATTCTGTACAAGGAACTTGAATTTGCTGGAAGGGAAAAATAAGCTTCTAATCTTTCAGATCTGATAAACACAGGAATTCAGCGGCCTTCCTCATTATTTTCTTGGTACTGCTCTGGTGTCTCACAGCTCTGAAGAGATTTTCTTGTTTTTCCTTCGGTGAGATTAGATCAACTCACATTCCAGATGCTGTTCACTGCAGGTGAACCTTGCTTGTGTCGCAAAGGCAACTTAAAGGTGAAGGCACCCTCGTACTCTGCTAGATGCCAATGCCGTCAGAGCTAACAACCATGAGCACAAGCTGCTGTCACCATTTCCTTTTTAACACTGGAGAAACAGGGAGTCTGAAATAAAATGAAAAGGTTTTTTGTTTGAATTTTGTGGGAAAACTACTTATATCAATGTCATATAGCAACATCCATCCATTATCTATACCGCTTATTCCTAAATAGGGTTGCAGGGGGGCTGGAGTCAATCCCAGCTGACATTGGGCAAGAGGTGGGGGTAAACCCTGGACATGTCGGCAATCTGTCAAAGGGGTGAGATGTTGACAGTCTTTGGGGAGAACATGCAAACCCTGCAAAGAAAGGCCCCAGATTGGTACTAAAAGTACACAATTACTGGTTTATTTTGACTTGCAAAGCTATTATAGCCATTGTAATGAAATGTTTGTCCACGTTAACTTCAGTTTCACCGTTAGTCTGCTTTCAGTTTGGGGTGGTTTCTTTTAGCCTTGACCAAGATCTGTCACTGACCTTAACCAAGTGGCTGCTCAAACTCCACTGGACCATGTGGATCTCAGAGTTCATGTTGCTTCATTATGCAGTGACAAATGCCAATGCAAAATGTCACTTAGGTATGAGGACTTCTTGATGAGAAAACAAGCTACTGTACAGAGGAAACAAGTGTCACTGATTCCTGACCTTTTTATATTAACTATTCCCTAAAAGACTTAAAATATAATTCAAAAATATTTAACAAACCAAAATTTAAACATGAACTAGTTTGGTTCCTGAAGAAATTATGTACGCTGTAAATGGTGTCATTTTTCTGCAGAACTGGGGTTCCCTGTGTTTTGATGAGGTGGAGAAGCTGTGATTCAAGAGTTTCTATAAAAACACATGGGAGGTATTCCACTAAAAACTGCACCAAACCACAGTTTATTTTTTAAAGGGGACACTCTGCTCACAGGGCAGACAATCGAAGCCTTTGCTTACATTAGAACTCCAGATTGCACATTTAAAACATAAGCCTTTGCTGCATGAACTACACTTTATATTATGTTAGTATCATAAGCTGCACAGTCTCATGTTACTCAGTCAAACAAAAGGCAAAGTTAACAGAGACATGTGGTTGCATGCAAAAGCATTTGATCAACCCATGTGACTCAGTTATTTTTGGCTGCTGTAGCCTACTGCAATTAACTTCTCTCCCATGAAAACTCATTTGCTCCAATTCATGGCCTTTTTTAAAATGAGACCAGTCTCTTTGTTATAGCTCAACAAGGTGTGATAATGAGTGACGACAAAATGCAACAGTGAAAGAAAACCTGAGAACATTAAGGTGGAGAACTTCAACTTTATGAGTTTGTCACTTCTCACATATTACAGTGACAGTTACCATGATGTTGTTGTTGTTCTTTAACACACACGACTGCTTGTGATGTGTTTTTGCGGTTCATTCCTCATATGACTCACATTATAATGTTTTGATTCATGACAGGTGTTGGAAAGTGTCCATGTGAAATTTTCAGCAACGCAAACCTACAGGTACCTAAGGGAGCCAGTCGGTGCACCTGCTGGTGATGAGTTACAGCTCACAGCCGCACAGCTGCAGTGTCGGAGGTTCAGTTTTGTCCAGGACCTTTGTTGCATGTGGCATCCCCACTTTCTCCATGTTTCCTCTGTGCAAGCTACTGTTAAAGAAAAGGTAAATACCAAATATTAACATAAGAAATATGAACATAAAGTCTGTAATTAGTGCTACTCCAAAGGATTTTAGTGGGTGAGGAAATTTTCAGTTCACTAATAGAAAGTAAACAAATGTGAAAGTGCATCTGCATATGTGAATGTCATGGTTTTATTGTCTGCATGTTATATTCAGACGTGTTCCTAATATTCTGACCCTCTCATGTATGTAGCTGTGGAGGAAAAAAATAAAAATGTTATGGTGGGGTCCCTCACCAGGGGGTGACAGAGAATGAGGACTCAAAGTGCAACCTCAGGTGCTAATAAGTAAGTGTCTTTACTGCAATATACATAGATGATAAGTGGACAAAGTCAATGGGTTAGGCGTGGTTCAAACCAGTGTTGAGCAGTGGAGGCTGAGAAGACCAGGACGGGCAGGTGAGCAGGAAGACGAGTGGTAGGAACTTGGAGGAACCAGAGGACGGGAAGGTGAGTAGACAGGCGAGCAACAGGAACCAGGAGGATCAGTGGACCAGGATGACAGGTGAGTAGACAGGCAAGCAGCAGGAACCAGGATGACAGGTGAGTAGACAGGTGAGCAGCAGGAACCAGGAGGATCAGTGGACCAGGATGACAGGTGAGGATCAGTGGACCAGGATGACAGGTGAGCAACAGGAACCAGGAGGATCAGTGGACCAGGATGACAGGTGAGTGGACAGGCGAGCAGCAGGAACCAGGATGACAGGCGAGCAACAGGAATCAGGATGACTGGTGAGTAGACAGGCGAGCAGAAGTAACCAGGAGGATCAGTGGACCAGGATGATAGATGAGTAGACAGGCGAGCAGCAATAACTAGGGGATGGGAAGGTGAGCAGATAGCAGGTGAGATGAAAGGCGAGATGTTCTGGAACTGGAACTGGAACAGGCTCGGCATCGGCGTCGGCAGTCTGGCTGACCCGCTCGGGTACAGGAATTGGAACAGGCTCGGGGGCGGCGTCGGCACACCAGCCGACAGGCTCGGAAACAGGAACGGAGGTGGCATTGGCACACTGGCTGACCCGCTCGGAAACAGGAACTGGCTTAGACTGTGGAGTCGGCCGCTGCCAGGGAGCTGAAGTGCAGACGGTTGTACAGAAAGTTCCAGACAGAGTGAGGTGAACACTGCAGTACTCAGTCAGTATGGGTCTGGTACCATCTGCATGACAGCTAGCAGCGGAAATGAGTCAGTCTCATGTATAATTTTATAATCAGGTCTTCCGCTACATTACACTTATGAACAAACTATTTTAGCGAGCAACTCCCAACCATTCTATAGTTCTTGTCCACATCATTCAAACTTTTCCAGTGCAGGTTGAAAAACATATGTGAACTCTTCAGCTAGTGACGTCAACGAAAGCTAAGTCAGGAACCAGCAAACCTGGAGTGAGTTTGCTGTTCACAAGAAACAAGGTGGCTCCAAAAATACTGTCCAGTAAGGTAAAAAAAAAGAAAGCAACAAAGGAAAAACTGGTGCTGTAACACCTCTGTTCATCAGTTTACTATATGTAAATCATTGAACAGGCAGCACATCACTGCATCCCTCAACTTTACCAAACTGTAACTTTTAGAACAGTGCTAAAGGGAAAGTGGTTTGTGGACTGATGAAAAAAGCAGCAGTGCAACATGACAGCATCCTCCCAACACTGAGGCACTTGGAGGCAGCGTCATGACTCCAGGCTGCTTTGCTGCCTGTGGGTCTGGACACCCTCATCAAGTATCAAGGTATCCTACAGGGTTCGTTCAGGGTGGCTGTTTACCAGCTCAACAGAATTTGGATCATGCAGCAGGTACTACATCAAATTAAATCTACTACAGAATGACTTAAGATGAAGAAAACCCACCTTCTGGAGCAGCCCAGTCAGAGCCCAGACCTTAACCCAACAGCTGTTCACACCCGACATCCTAAGAACATGTTTGAGCTGAAGCAGCTGTGAGAGCGTAGGGTCAAATTCCTTCTGAACATCGTGCACGTCTGATCTGCAGCTACCAGTGTGAGGTTATCACTGCCAAAATACGTTCGGCCTGTTCAGGGTTCAATTACATTTTCCACCAGCACTGCTACTGTTTAATGGATGTGTCCAGTAAAGGCACAGAAGAGTATGACTGCTTGTGTGTTGGCATAAGCGCATTGTTTATTGATACTTGTGACTCAGATGAAGATCAGATCACATTTTATAACCATGTGATTCCAAAGGGTTCTCCTACCTGTGAAACATCCACTATATCTTTTCCACAAGACCCGTTGTGTCTTTTATAAAAGTCAAACACCAATGAACAAACCTTTGGCCCCCTCTTGTGGCCAAGTATATTAATAGCAGCTACATTTTACATTATTGGAATCAACTTTGATTTATTCTATGCTAAATTAAAACAGGCCATTCAACCATTTATGCATTTACTACCACTGCACAACCATGTTTCATTTTCAAGTATGCATCTTTAAATACAGAACATGCTGAGGTAAACATCACTTTGAATGTTATGAATGTTTATTGAGGATGTTCATCACAACTGTTTTCACCGTTCCTTATCAACTGTCAGTTAAATAAAAATAGGAATATTTAAAGTTAAAGGTTTTCTGGCATCATCAAAAATCAGGTGAGATTTTAATGATCTAAGGAGCGTGACACCATTTTGAGGACATCAGTAGAAGCCACAACATTTACATGCGTTTGTGAAATGTAGAAATATTAACAGTATCTCCAACAAAACAGACATTTATCACGTTTAACTGAGCGGGTCAGTTCAGTGACACCAGCCAAACTGTTGTGTTCTCTTTCACTGACCCAATTCTGAAATGCAGATTTAATGGACCACTTGTCAAGTGATAGAAAATTTGGTGTTTTGGCAAAAAAAAAATTTTTACTTCAAGCCATTTTTGGAGGGAACTGGCTGTCAGTTTAGGCTACAGCCGAATTGCAGTTGGATGATCCGCGTAGCAAAAGTGACGAGTGAGTTTTAAGACCAGCAGACCAAAGACTTCACCTCCTGTCCTGAGAAAGGCCCTCAGTGAACACAACAGACTTTTCCATCAGCTCTCAGTCTCTACTGTTGAACAGCTTTTAAGACGCTGACACTTTTCCTGTCAAAAAGAAATAGTAACACACTCAGGGATGTGACTGTGAACTGCTGACACCCCTGACAAAAATCATCCACTTGAACTCAACCAAAAACCCTTTTATTCTAACCGTTTGACCTCTTCCCTCTGTGTCTGTTTGCTCCCTTCCTGCCTATAAGAACCCCTCTGTCTGCGTTGCCATGTCTCACTCGTACTCGGCGATCAGCACCATCATGCCGACTCCGAACAGCAGGGCCAGGATCTCCATTAGAGACTGGCCGAAACTGGAGCGGCCTGCCAGCAGCTCTGGGAGCACCGTCACTGTGGCAATGTAAATGAACCCGCCGGCTGTGAACGGCAGGATCCAGGCGGTTGCCGCGGCTCCGACTCCTTCAGCCAATAGGGAGCAAACTGTGCCAGCGAGAGCTCCCAAGGCCGTCAGCAGCTGGAGACACATGGCCTGATGGGAAAGAGGAAGAAGACTGCTACAGTAACATTGTCAATATTTCAACACATCCTGCATTTTAACATATTACAGGGATCCTGCAGGTACTATCAAGATACATTTTATACTTTTTAGGACTTTTTCCATTTTGAACACAATTAATTCACATCCACAGTGGCAAAAATATGAAGGATATGAAGAAAATTTGTATTCAATTTATTTGTATTGCACCAAATCACAACAAAAAGTCATCATGCTTTAGAGTCAAGTCTGGACTTTACAGTACGGTAGAGACAAACACAACAAATCCCAGATTCTGGATTTTACAGCACCTTACAGAGAGCAGAAGGGCTAATTCACACTGCAACGTCCATATATACAATGACTACTACTGTTTATGTCCTGAATAAACATCACAAGACGTGTGAGTCAGGACTTGGGGTACCACCTCGCCTGAACCATTTCTGGGACGATGCACAATCAAAATTTAACTAGTGGGCCAATAAACTTTGCTCAGATTCACGTTCAGTCTTTTAAAGCTGCTGACTGCCTGTATGATGTTATAAACTACAGCTCGAGCAGTTAGCTACCTTTCTTTTGGTGCAGCCTGACTGTACAAGGATGGCAAAGTCTCCAATCTCGTGTGGGACCTCGTGCAGCAGGATGGTGATGGTGGTGACAGTGCCCACTGCTGGACCAACCAGGAACGAGGCTCCAATTGCCAGCCCGTCAGTGAAGTTATGGGTGAAGTCAGCTGCCAGGTTCAGGTACCCTGACACTTTGATGTCTGGAGAAGTGGAGAGAACAGAGAATAAATGGAGCTGATTAAGAGTGTTTAAACACACTGTTTGGGACCGTCACTACCTGGGACACTGGGTTTTAACTAGGTCAGGGTTGGCTGGTTCTGTGCTAAGAAGGTAATAGCACTGTGATCACAAAGACTGACATGATATCAACAGCACGTGACATACCAGCACTGACATCACTGACTGGAGTGGAGCCAACAGAACTATTTTTACCCCACGGGAGCAGCAGAACAAACATTTTCTGCCCCTGCAAACCATTTAAGAATGTGTTCGACAACATGTTGAAATACTGTAGCTGGCAATGTTACTTTGAAGTGTTTATGGCCCCAGTAACTGTGATGTGGCTGAACCCAAAATCACCATACAGGTCATACAGTAATCGCTGTCACTAAGAATGACTTCACAGCACCACTGACAGCCGTAACATGTATATGTATATTAAAGGCAAAACTGCACCATGTGATGTTCGGAGAGAAGTAACACGTCTTGGATGTGTTTCACTCATACGTGGAAATTCTGAGAAGATTTTACACTTATAGTTCAGGCAGAAAAATTAGATGGCAAAAAGGAAACAATATAAATGCAGCACTGAATTTTTACTTGTCATTGAAATACTTTAAAAAGTTAAAGGAGCCTTGCAGAATTTAAGCTGAGAAACTATGCTGACCAGCTGAGGAACAGGACACTGCACTTTACTGCAAGGCCATGACCAGGCTGGCATGGACACGGATCCTCAGTCATATGGGTCAGTACGGGTTACTGAGTAAATGCATGGGCAAAAATACAAGTTTTACTCATTTAAAATGAAATATAAAACAATTAGGTGCAAAAAGTGAATACTTTTTAAAGCCACTCATTATTTCAATGCATAACCATTAAAACATTGCTACGGTTTTATGTAACAAGCATGCCATAACACTCGTCTTTAAATCTGTACATCTCCAAATATCTGTTTTCCAGGTTTCTAGGTTTACTGTAAATCTATTTTTCTACTGAAATCTTAATTCATTAATAATAAATAAGTGAAATAATAAACCACATTTCTCAGGTGCATGATAGTCTAAAGTCTTAACACAAACAACTGTACAAGACTGTTGCCTAATTAAAATACATAACAATGAAGTATTTAGTGAGTATATATCTACACTGGTGTTTATTTAGCACATGCTGAATACATACCTCTCTGCCGAACTCCATCTGTAGAGTCATGCTGATTATCTGCTTGTGTTTGTGAGCTGTAAGAATCTTTCCGTCACACTGCAGTTTAGTAACTGACCAGCAAAGGGGGCTGCTGAGTCTTTAAGTCTGTAACAATCAAGGTGTTCACTGCTTACCTGTGCTCTTTTTCTCCTCTTTCTTTGGCACCTTCTCATGTTTGACTCCTTTCTCCTCTTTCTTCTTCTTCTTTTCCTTTTCTTCCTCTTCATCACTCTCCTTTTCCTTGGGAGCAGCTGAAAACGACACATAAAGCTCAAATCAGCTCCAGTCACCAGATCAGATCTTGAGATTACAAGCAGTGAAATCTACACAGTTTACACGCTTAGATTTTGGATTTGAAAACAGCTACAAGATAAAACTTAGATCAATTTATTAAAAAAAAAAAAAAAATCTGCAGATGAAGATTTTATGTAGGAAAATGGAAATGTTTCTCTTTCAGGACAAATTTCTAAAGAGCAGAGTGTTTCTACCCACGTACCATGTGAGTGGCTGTGGGAATGGCCATGGCCATGCCCTCCTTTCAGCAGTCGGACAAATTTCTCTACAACCAGGAAGGCAATGATCCCCCCGAGGACCCACAGGCCCACTGACATCATGTGGCCATGGGCAGCTCCTGCGGAGAGAGGGGACAATGGCCTGAACCATGCAACATGAGCAGATTGATCCATGTGCAGATATCACGTGTTACTCCTGCCGATTAGGGTGAAGAAGTGAAAGCTGCATATGTCACCAAATGACTTCATTGTTTTGAATTTCTTTGGCTGATTTTTTGCACCTCTAGGACACCACCTATCAATAACCAGACAACCAAGTGTGTGCACATTAAAAGTAATCGCTGCCTACCGTGGGAGTGACCATGGTCATGTGACTCTTCAGTTGCGTGCGAGTGCCCGTGATCTTCATCTACCTGAGAGTGGGGCTCTGAAAATGACAAAAAAAAACAGACACTGACCTAAAAAGGAAAGTGATTATCCTTTTACCGTCTGTGTTTTCGATGAGCTTTGGTTCATCACTGTCAGTAGCTGAATGAAACTGTTGTTGACTTGTATATTTATTACTTTGACGTATGAGAGTTTGTTCACATTTAGAAATCGCTGACTTAGAGAGGTGTTAAATACTATGTATGTGAGAAAAACTGACAGCAACTCAAGCTTCTGCATCTACATACCCAGAGCATGTGGTATGAGGTGGAGGAAGGCATCACCGAGGAGTCCACCAGAGGCAAAGCTGAGGAGCACCTTGAGCAGGTTCTGGTGCTGGTCGCTGTTTGACTGAACTGGGATAAGAAACAGAATGAGGAAAGGAGCCGCGCTGATCAGCAGGGTGGCTCCAACAGCCTGCAGACAGGGATGGAGGAAGTTTACTTTTTTTATGTGTCATATTTCTGATGCAGAGATGTTTGACAAACTGCAAGGTCATCAAAGAAGCAACATAAAAGAGGGCTTAGAGGACAAAGGAGGGAAAGGACACTGATCCTTGTAGAGGCTAATTTAGGTAAGACATGTCTGAACAGATGAATGACAGCACTGATAGTTGCTGTAGGACAAAGCACTGTATGTTTTTCCCATTGGTCATACAAATATTTTAAACCACATTACAAAATCACAACCCATTGTTCTCAGTCTAGCCCATGACCACACCTGTGCCCAGAGCTCCACCAGGTCCGTCTTCATCTTCGCTGCCTCTCTCTTCACCCTCTCCCCTCCACGTGCGTGCCCATGTCCACTCTCCTCCTTATGCACTCGAACAACATCTTCAAGATGAGCATGCCTATGTCCGTGATCGTGAGAGTGTGCATGTCCGTGATGATGAGCGTGTCCGTGATCGTGTGCATGTCCATGATTGTGAGAATGTGCATGTCCGTGATCGTGAGAGGGTACATGTCCATGGAGCTCCTCTTCATGTGCAGGGAGATTGGCTTCGATGCTCCACTTGCTCGCTCCGTGGTACATCTTCACCTGAGGACCGTGAGAGTGCACGTGATGATCATCTTCTCCATGGGAGTGGCCATATCCATGATCGTCATGGGAGTGGCTGTGAGCAATGGTTGAATGGGAGGCTAACAGGAGCACTGCAGAGGTGACCAGGGTCAACGCCAGCAGACGTACACAGGCCATATTATCCACTATTAAAAGTGAAGAAGAAAACACCAGGTTGATTTATGATTCAATTCACTGGACCAGTTTACACTTCAGTCACTTCATGTGTAGTGAGTGTGGGTACCAAAGAAACAAATTACATATTCTGCCTTGATACATGAACTTAATGCAAACATCATTTCAGTCATGAAAATAAACTAATAACTTCATCTTCCTGTTGCTGTCCATTTGTTGTGAGTTTTAATTTTAAAAAAAATTTTCACAAAATGTGCTGTAAAGTTAAACTCAAATGAACCATCACTCTGTCACTAGCTAAATATATTTATGTCACACATACAGTATATGCACACACCTCTGTCAGTTCAAGAGGAATCCAACATTTATTTTGTGGCACACAGCTGTTAATACTCATTAATGAAACGCTAGTGGATAGAAACAGGTTTAAGAACTGGCCTAATATTATCCAATTTTTCTCCCTGTGATAATGAAGCACCGCAATGAAGGCAGGCCCAGTATCATCTCATTCCTGATCAGTGCAATTACTGCACGACCTGTGTGGAAATGAAATGTGAAGAAAGCTGCTCTTGCTTTACATGGAGGCCACTGTTACAAGCTCTGTCACACAGCCCGAGTGGATTCATTTAGCTTTTATTGATAACTCACATTGTGTAAGGAGTTCAAGTTATTCTTGCTTCATCAGATCAGACAGTTTTTAATATTATAGTGCCAACATGCCAGAGTTAGCATTTATTCAGACTGCACTAGGATTTTGCTCCTGTACTGACTCAGTTTGGGGCTTTTCCGTTCAAATATAGCAGCACGATATGGTGCTGAGCACAATTAGCAATGGTGTTGTGCTGTTTTAAGGTTATGCTAGGCTAATCATTCCCTGGGCGGCATGCACTGATTAATGCTGTGGTAATACTTTGTACAGTATTTAATACAGGAACGGCCTACGTGTGCAGATGTGTACAAACTGTGTTAATGTTAACTTACTATTACTATTTGAGTTCGCTCTCTCTCGCTTTCTCCAATGATTGTGTTTATTTGCTAGCGGCTTTACACATCGGATCCGGGTGTAAAGCGGATAATCTCCTAGATTTGAAAGGGTCAACTTTAATCTGACAGCAAGCAATAAAACCCGGTCAGCAAACAACCACCAGTGATCGGCGGTTTCTATCAATTGTGAAGAAAGCCCATTAGCTTGCTAGCTAGCTAATAACAAACTTGCTAGCATGTTGCCGCAGCATTACTAACTGCGATTTACAATGAAAAACAAACAAACCGGATTGTGTCAGATATCACTACCTGTTGAGCCGCTGGACGTCCCTCTGTCTTTAGTACAATATGCTTGGTAAACCGCTAATATTTCTGTGTACGTTGATGCTACTAGTCGCTTGGTCTAAGACGTGGCATATCCGCTAAACTCATCAATGTCTCGCGGGAACACGCTTCATTGCTCCTTAGTTTTCTCTATCTCCATTTAGATTGGAATAATAATAATAGTACATGCCCGATTTTCCATGACACGATTATATGATACGTGAATATATTTTACATCACTTGAAAAATTGTGTCAACTCCAAAATCTTGCAAAATTTGATTTGTGATTAAACAAGGGGAGCAATATAGATATCGCGAGAATAATTTAGTATTTTGAATCATTCCCCATATGTTGCTGGAATCAGCGGCACGAACATCCTGAAGAAGAACAGGATGCAAATCCGTTTGCCTGCGATTGAAACCTGCAAGTAAAAACATAGTGATACATTTTTTGTGTAAATTATGTGTGTGTTGATATCATCTGTTTCTACATGTTTGAAAGAATAACTCAAATCAAATAAAAAAAATAAATCGCCTGTGTGTGCAGCCTGGTTTAAACTGTCGGTAGGGAAATGGGCTTTAGCTGCAACAGCTGCTTCACGATAAATTATTGACAATTTAGTAGAAATAGTAGATTTGTAGAAGCATCACAATAAATAATATTTTACTGTGCAATGGCTGTTGGTCGAAAAAGGAGAGGACGTAGAAGGATTTGTAGACAGAGAGAGAGAAGAGGAAAGGCAGGAGTATAGGTCTGAGAATAGGGACTCTTAATGTTGGCACAATGACGGAAAGGTAGAGAGCTGGTGGACATGATGGAGAGAAGGAAGGTAGATATACTGTGTGTGCAGGAGACCAGGTGGAAGGGTAGCAAAGCGCGTAGCATTGGAGGGGGATACAAACTTTTTTTATTATGGTGTGGACAGGAAGAGAAATGGGGTAGGAGTGATCCTGAAGGAGGAGCT